GAAAGTGACGAGCAAGAGTTCCCAAGTGCCCTAGATTGATCTTCAACACCATTGGAGGCCAGCTTGAGCTTGGAGAAGTGCCAATCAACGTCTAGAAGCAGGAATCCATCCTTCGCAGTATGAATTCCGTGTCTGATTCTGCTTTTGCTTTCTTCTCCATGGAGTAGTTCTCCCATTCATCTGGGTATGGAGAACCCTAGATTTGTATGTTAGGCTTTGATTGTATGAACCCAAGTACTGATTCTGTGATTGATTATATTCGATTGAGGTTTTAATGATTGAATGACTTGAATCCTGATCAAATTCCTGTTGTTTCTGCTTTAACCTAGAATGAGAATATCTGCCTAGGTTAATAGAGTATCCTTGATTGAAGGTAGAGAGTTGGTGACTTTAGTCGAGGAACCAACTCACTATTCTGTACCGGATTTACTCCGGTAGTGGAGGTTTTGTTCTTAGGGCCTCAATCTGTCGACTCCGGTGGAGGTTAGTCGCCCGCTAGAGAGTCAGATTGAGAGGGTCTGAAGACCTTTAGTCGAGACTTCAGGCTGTTTAAGAACCATCCGCAGTATAATTGTCATAGAAACTGAACTTGGTAATTACAATCCGGCTTAACTGCAGTCTAGGGGGAACCATATCCGGGTGACCTCTTTAACCTGAATACAACCAGTTTACTTGCTTTGTTTGTTTGGTAGTTTAGACTTGCACTCCAGTTTTATTGCTAGATAACAAGAACTCACTGAGTAGTCAGCAAATCTAGGACCCGGGTTGATAATTAAACCTAAACCCGCTATACTACGCTTTAGGAAGTGGTTTCACTTGGCCAATTCCTGGAGTGACAGTAGAGTCGAGTCAGCATAACTGAAAACCCCCATCTCTTGGCGGCCAGGGGCAAAGGGCAGGTGTTTGGTGAACCCACAACCGCTTCACTATCACAGAGCAAACATATAGCCGCCAAAACCCGCAGCTTTTCACGACTAAAGGGCAATTGTTGGGCTCATAGTTAAGCTGTGTTGGGCCTAAGAGGCCCGTGTAGGCCCACGAGGAGGCAGAGGCTAAGCCCAAAGGAAGGGACCAAGTCAAGGAGCGAAGCCCAAGGAGACATGGGGAAAAGAGACCCCACAGGCGGCCGCCCTATGAGGTGACAGAAAGTAGGCTGAGTGACACAGGAGACCGTTGGTGTCAGGAAGGTAGATCTCCCTAGGATTCTTACCTCGTACACAGCAGGACTGGGCATTTAATGCCCGCCGTAGGCGGTCCTGGTAAAGTCAAGTGTGCTTAGGCCGCCTGACAAGGCATTAAATGCCTCATACCTAGGCTGGCTGACTATAAATACACTGGTATCGGCATTAATGGTAACTCAACTACTCTCTCTCTATCTAAACCTAAACAACATTTCTTACTTCTCTCTCTAACTTAAGCATCGGAGGGTGTCCCGGGAACCGCCCACGGACCCTTGTTTGCAGGAATTGGAGTACGCCCTTCATCTGGAACAGACGTCTTGCTTGCCCTGCACTCAATCGCCGGGAACATTCTAGGCATAAACAATTAGGCACTGATTTGGGCGAATATATTTTCGGATGACATTTTCATAATTTTTTGGGCGATTTATTTCGAAAGGTCATTTTCCTTGGATTTTGGAGGCTATAGGTCACGATTCGGCCTGAGGCTATTCTTCAATGATGATTAAGTTCATTAAGCACCGATTTGGACGGATTTCTTCTAGTACCATTTTTGGTGGACTCCAAAGAGGTACCATTATCGATTTCGGATAAATTTCCCGCATTTTTCAATTTTGAAGACTCCTTATCACAGATTCACCCTGATGCTATTCTCCACCGATAATGAAGTCTATTGATCCTATTCTCCACCGATGATTAAGTCCATTAGACACCGATTTGGGCGAATTCCTTTTTAGATGGCATTTTCGTAATTTTTTGGCAATTTTTTCCGGAAGGCCATTTTCCTTGGATTTTGAAGGCTACAGATCACAGATTCGACATGAGGCTATTCTTCAACGATAATTAAGTTCATTAAGCACTGATTTCTGCAGATTTCTTCCGGTTCCATTTTTGGCGAACTCCAAAGATGCACCATCACAGATTTTAGACGATTTTTCCGAAATGTCATTTTCTTTTTATTTTGAAGGCTACATATCACGAATTTAGCCTGAGACTATTCTCCAGCGGTAATGAAGTCTATTGATCCTATTCTCCATGGATGATTATGTCCATTAGGCAGTGATTTGGGCGGATAAATTTTCAGATGGCATTTTCGTAATTTTTTGGGCAAGTTTTTTTCATAAGCCCATTTTCCTTGGATTTTGAAAGTTACAGATCACGGATTCGACCTGATGCTATTCTTCAACGATGATTAAATCCATTAAGCATCATTTTGGGCGGATTTCTTTCGGTACCATTTTTGGTGGACTCTAAAGGGATACCATCAAAGAATTCGGGCGCTTTTCCCGAAATACCATTTTCTTTTTATTTTGAAGGTTTATCAAGAATTCAGCCTGAGACTATTCTCCACTGATAATGAATTCTATGGAAACTATTATCCACTCATGATCAAGTAAATAGACACCGAGTATATATACAAGCCTTTGAGCCACAAGGTGCCTGCAGGTTCCTTTACCAATTTCTGATACCTAATTTCATAAATAACAATATGTTGTCAACATTACAGATAACTTAGTAGACCATGAAATCTTGAAAATCCTATGACGGAGTAATCATATCATACAGATAGGAATGACAGAACCTATATGCATTTGGATTAGTAGAGGTATCAACATGAAAATAAATTACAACGGTCTACCAAATCAAACCTAAAACATTACAAAGAAGATTCCACTAAGTAATTCACTTCATCATTTGCCTTCTCGATGTTCTTCAAGTTCCTTCATAGCTAAAGCCACTGCTGCTTGAATATCTATGTTCTTCAATTTTCTCTTCTCTGACCCCTCAAGTGTTGTACCTTCTTCATCAATATTTTCCTCTTTAAATTTTGCTCCATTTAAGCTGCCAATTCTGCCTGAAGATCGATCAGCAAAGAAAAATCAGCATCGAGCTTTGATTTGACATATTTAGCGTAATGAATCTGCAGTTTCAGCTCCTTCTCCCAATAAAGAGCATCCAGCAATTTCGCTCAACGATTTTACTAGGAACAACCCACTTTTGTCCCCAAAAGATTCTCAAGCGATAATCTGAAGCTCAATTCATCTCCTTCCTTTCCTAGGCCAAGTCCATTAAAGCTTGGCCCACCTGAGATGCCAGACCAGTCCCTTCGCGGCCCAATCGACCACAACTCTCCTGCATACATGACCTGCTTCTTCTTCCTGCGAGCCTCGTAGATCTCCTGGGCCGTCGAGGCCGGCAGCAAAATCGACCCGTTGAATACCGGGTCCAACGAGGCCGCATTGGCCCGATTCCCTTCTCAGGCGCCGTTGATCGTCGGCGCAGTCGGAAAATGTTCGCCGCCCACGGTGACCCTCGCCTTCACCCCCCGACCTCCTCCATGGTTGGCACATCGTCGCCTCTTGAGCTCTCGGCTCTTTCATCCCCGCCGCCGGCGTCGTCTCCTGCATCGCTGGTGGCGGCGACCCACGATTCATCAGAACCTCGACCAACACCTCCTTTATTGTTCCTGCGAGTACTTGTCGCGTGCTCTCGGCCAAACTCCTGCCCAGTTCCTCGATCGACGTCCTGATCTGGCCTCCCTTAGCTTCAATGACTCCGATCGATCACGTCGACGCGACAACAACTCTTTCGGTAATAGTTGTCAGGTTTTCCAATGTCGTGACCTTCACGTCATACTTTGTCACATTCACGTCCTTGACTGTCATGACATCCTTGGCCGACCTCTACGGTTTGTCTTTCGGGTTCGTCATCTTCAGAAATCGTCACACCAACCAGGATCTGATACCAATGAGAGAACACTATTCTAAGTGTGCAATTTAGGGTTCACAGATTGAGGGAATTATATGCTGAATTAGGAGATGATGAGAGAATTAGGAATTTGATGAGAAAGAACAGAGAGTTGAGTTGAAGAAGACATAGAAGTCGCGTCCCGAGGGAAGGGACGCCAACGACAGTAGGGTTGAGAGAGGGAGGAATTTGGCTAGGTGAGAGAGAAGTAATTGTAGGAAATAATTCTTTTGTTATTCCTTAACCTCTAATTCTCCACAATCACAATATATAATCCGACTAATTCCCTACACCTACCCGAATAATTAACCTGACCCAATAAAGCCCACGAGTTCCCTAAATATCCAACATGACATCAAAACATCTCGAATAATAAATAACGACAAATGAGTCCCAAAATAATTAGTTTCTGATAATGGACCAAACTTAACACAGTGTGATCACTTGATTGATAAGAGTCGTGCCAAGCTCTTCTGCATTCTTCAACAGAACAACTCAAACAAGGATCTTGCTCTAGTTGTGGAATCCACCAATAGCTAAACCAATAAACCATAAGCATGCGACTCAATGGGGAAAAACACACCTCGGTGTACGATTCTTATTTCAATAAAGTCTAACCCTAAAATCCGTGCTTACAACCCTTTATATAGCCTAGGGAAATAAAATTATAAAAAATTCATAAAGAAACAAAAAACCTAAAACGAAAAGTGTTTGTGCAATCTAGTTCAGGACACGAACAATTATATTTGTTGGTGTGGGGTTGAGTCACGATCCGTTCGTCTTATCTCATCGAGAAGGAGGGAACCTGTGAAAAGACCGGGGATGCCCCCCGTATTAAGCTCTGACGATCAAGTTAATTTATGTATAGTGTGAACTGAGAGAATAAGGTAGAGAGAGAACCAATGTTTCCAAATGATAGAGCCCTCTTCTTTGAAGGGCATGGAAGCCCTTATATAGACGCAGTGGGCACCGGTTGCGTAGTAGTGTTGCAGGTTGTGCGACAGGTAGTGTGGTAGGTTGCGCGACAGGTAGTGCGGTAGGTTGTGCGGCAGGTTGGGTATCACAATGCTGGTGCGCTACTACTTAGTTTCATTTTAGCTTGGGCGTCACCGCTAGTGCGGATGCTAGTGCACCACAATGCAAGTGCACCACGATGCTGGTGCACTACTATTTAGGCTCTTTTTTGCTTGGGCGTCACCGCTAGCAAGGATGCTAGTGCACCACAATGCTGGTGTGCTACTGCTTAGTCTCAATTTGTGTGAAGGTTGAGCTCACCATACTTGTGCACCACCATGTAAGTGCGCTACTAATTACTCTCTACTAGGTGGGTTTAGTAACACCCCCAACAAAAAGGTAATTTTATCCCGTCATACCAAATTCCACGGTCTCCCCCCTTGAAATCACGGTCGTGGATTTTGGCCTCCTAACTGTGGGTTGTTCCTGCTTCAAATCCACGATCCAAACATCAATTCCACGGTCGTGGATTTTGATGCCCTGGCCGTGGATTTTTGTGCTGCTCGAGAATCACATAAACTATTCTAGCGCAACTTTGGGGAATGCACCAAGGACTCTTTTATGCTTGGGAAAAGGAACCAAAATTCTACTGCTAGAGACAGATTCCAAACGACAATTTAGTTGATTAAGAACCACAATGATTCTCTTCATCCCCATGCTACTGTATTAAACGCTATTCACAAGATGATTGCTCCAAATTAAATAGTTCAAATAATTCATACTTATCACGTGGAAAAAGAGTCGTGGACTGACTATCCCTCTATCACATATGGACTATTAGACCTACCAGTTGATGTGGGAAGGATCCTTGGAGAAGATTTTATCAGAGTTAGCTTCCAGCGCAGGGTCCTGTTAGCTTCCATCTGAAGTTTGGATTTTGATATGTTTTCTGTGGTTTTGTTCTGTTGGGGATTTCCCTCTGATTGTTGGGGAATGCGGGGAATGGATCAGGTCAGTAACCTTATGGTGAGTAACCATGAGTAACCCGTCCACATCAGCATGACATCAGCATCCTCTCTCTCCTGGAAAGCCTTTAATTTTCCCCTCTTTAATCTTTGACGGACTATTTCTCACTCATTTTAAGTCGAAATTTAATTTTTTTTGCACAGTTAGATCAGATTAATTGTGCTCTTCAAAATGATATCCACTTTAATATATTTTTCGAACAAAAAAAATTGAGTCATTTTTTACTAGTCTATACCATATGGTATTGACTGGTATTGAAATAAAAACATACCTATGGTTTGAAAAACGTACCATGGTTGTATGAACAAACCAAGACTGTTGAATGGTTGAATACATGATAGTAGAAGTATATTAATTGTCATTTACGACTTTTAACATTGTATACCACACAATACCACCCCGTACCAGGGTGGTATTGTATGGTATTGTGTGGTATTTTTTGGTCCTATAATTTGTTCACCCAGAAATTTGTAGATCCAATAGATCATGATGAACTCGTCCCTTCTGTGCAAACGTTTTCAAAAACGAATTAAAAACGAAGAAGATACCATACAATACCACCCCGTACCAGGGTGGTATTGTATGGTATTGTGTGGTATTTTTTAGTCCTGTAATTTGTTCACCCAGAAATTTGCAGATCCAATAGATCATGATGAACTCGTCCCTTCTGTGCAAACTTTTTCAAAAACGAATTAAAAACGAAGAAGATACCATATGGAATGCAATTGGTACCGAGAGGCCAGAATTTTTTTTTTCTCAAAAAATATTGAAAATTAATCTCATTTTGTAGAGCACGATGAACTCGTTCCATCTGTGCAAAACAAATTAAAATCCGAGTTAAAACGAAAAAGATATGAGTCAATTAAGAAAGCTAGAAAAAATAAAAATGGTCTTTAATTCTCATTCCTTAAGTCTGAATTTTCTAAATAAAGTGTCCAGATTTGGTTATTGATGGGTGCATAACCCATGGTTATGCACCCTATCTTGAGCCAAGGCACTCGGTCATGTTAAGTGTCTTTCCAGTGCTGTATTAGGTTTCCTTTTGGCGCAAGGCCTCCACTCAATAAAAATACTATATAAAAAAAAAACTATGTGTTCCCCACGAAAGGTTCCAAACGAACACTTAAACTACAACTACTCCTGGATCCATGGGCGGACCCAGGGGGTTTTAGGGGTGTCCCTGGCCACCCCTAAATTTTTAGAAAACGATTATTCAACCCCCGATGGTAATTTATGTACGGAAAAAAAATATAATTGATAGTGAGGGACACCCATTAAATTTGAAAAAATGATTATCCTACTGTCATTTGTGTATAGGAATATGAGTGGTAGGTTGGATAATTCAAATCTAGAATACTTTATTATTAATAAACTTAATTTCCGTTAAGCTAAACTCATTTGTTGTTCGATTTTGAACAATGTGTAATAGTAAAATGACATTCTCTATCTCTAATTATTTTGAAAACCTAACAATTAAACTAATTTCAAACTACCCTTAATTTGTATTGGTTTTATGATTGTACGGCAAGTGTTGAAAGAGTCTTTCAGCTTTGGGTTATATCAAGAACAAGTTTACAAATCGAATATGCGATAAGTTCGTGAATGATTGTCTAGTAGTGTATAAAGAGACTATTTTTTTAACACTATAAACACCAAGTGTATTCTACAAATATTTTCGAATATGAAAACACATCATGGGCTTTTTTAACCTGTACGAGTAAGGTATTTTCATATTTACAATTTTATTTTTATTAATTATTTTTATTTAATTTATTTATAAAAAGAGGACACCCCTATGAAAAATTTCTGGGCCCACCACTACCTGGATCTACTTGAAAAATAACGAGAGTACAATACATAGTTCTCCGTCTAATTCAAAGAGAGCAGCCAGCAGGTTCGAACTCTTTCTCCCTTTCAATGAGACATCAATCAACTCACCTCCTTTTCCCCAAGCTGAAAAACTTCTCTGTCTTCCTCGTCCAAAGTGGACATCAGCTCTTTCTTTACCTTTAGGGCGTCCTCCACAAAGTAAATTTTCGGCGGTAACAAATCCTCATAATCATCTACAAAAAGAGATATATCTTCCATTAGAAAACAAATTAACAAATCTAAATCACCAAGCCGCCAACATGTTTAGAAAAAGTCAACCAACCCCTCCTCCCAAGTCCCAACTAATGAACTACATCAACAAGCTCATCCACGCACAATGCCGACATTAGAGCAATCTTGCGGCAAGATGATCAGAAGAATGAGACATGATTAACAAGGACTCCAAAATAAGTTCTTTGCTTTAGAAAACAACACATCTACCCAAGGGCCAAAGACGTATTAAGGATGTATGCCACTTCACTGTATTGACCAACCATTGCCAGGAAACAAACATAGGGAAAAGAAGAGGAATCCCCCCTCACGTTACGTACAAGCTCTTGGGCAACGTAAAAAAAATTGTTGGTTTGGTTGGTTACCTTTGCCAATTATTTTCCTCCGGAAGACAGCAACTTTATGACCTCCCATTGAGAAGGGGTAATAGGCCACCGCGGTCTGATAAACCTGGACTTCACCAGGGTGTTCGGAGCCAGTAAAAGTCACATAGAACCACCAGCAAGCATATTGCTCCATAGTCGTGTTCAGAATTTCTCCTAAAATCAAGCTCTTGCCCTGCAAGGAACATATGCAAGCATGATCTAGTTCTTCTGGTCAGTGAATTATATTCAGCGGTGGAATTAATTAACTATTTCTTTTATCAATATAGTAACAATTACCTCTACTATATGATATTTCCAGATGACGAATTTAACCGAAGCCAGAATAAGCTCGTCCAGATTCCCAAGATGCCAGTAATGATCTCGGTGGAAAACACCACCGCAGCAAGAGTAGTTTGGTTGGCAATGAGCATAAAAATTCTGTGCTTAAGAACAATCAGAAAATATCAAATTCGATTGTAAACCACCTATACACATTAATCAAACCCTAGTTTTTCTTTTGTTTTTTTTTTTTCCCCTTCTTACCATGAGGCACTTCCATCGTAACAAAGACAGCAGAGGGTCCAGACCCCCATCGTATATATGCAGCTTGCTAGTTAGAACTTGAATAATAATTGATTAGTAAAAATATAAAATTAGGTTGGAACTACTTACTCCGGTGACCCACTTCTTCCTCCTGTGATGGATGACGCGCAGCTTGAGTTCTTCGTCGCCATTAAAATCCTCGTCAAGGCCTACATATTCGCTATCGTCATCCTTGGGTTTGAATTTGCGCTTTTGAAGCTTTTGGCAGCATTTACAGAATATATCCCCGTACTCGTTCGCTGGAAAATCATCTTCAGTCCCCGGCGGATCAAAACACACCTCTGGTTTCAGGCCCACCTCACCCGGGAACAATTCGTCCTCCGACGATGATACCTCCTCCTCCTCCTCCGGAGATTCAAGGGACACCGACGATTCAAGGGCCTCCTCCTCCTCGGATTCCTCCTCCGACGACTCTAATACAAGGGCCTCCTCCTCCTCCTCGGATTTCTCCTCTTTCGATTCAGGGAACATCTCTCGATCAATGGCCTCCTCCTCCAATTCATCCGGTTTGGAATTGGAAGACATCTCTGGATCAGGGACGGATATATCTGCATCGAGGGCCTTCTCCTCCGATTTGGGAAACATCGGCGTCGGTCTTTCGGATTTAAGGGACTTCACCCCGTTCCGCTTAGTGTGAGCCTGTCGCAAGTATCGGCATCCAGTGGAGTGGCGGATACATGGTTGTTTCCTATGGATAAAAAAAATATAATTGACAATTCTGGAAACTCTTAAATTTTGAAAAAATAATTATCCTACTTTCGATAGTAGTTTGTGTATGATTAAAAAGATATAAGTAGTACTTTTGTGTTATTCAAACAAGGACACTTCTATTATTAAACAATTCTCCAGGTTACAACGAATTTTTTGTTCTATTTTAAACACTATGAAATAGTAAAAATATTTTTTTTATCCCCAACTATTTTCAAACCTAGCAAATAAACTCATTACGGGTTATCCTTAATTTGAATGAATTTTATGGTTACATGGAAAGAGTTAAAAAATAGTTTTTCAACTTTGAGTCACATTAAAAACAATGTTAGAAATCGAATATGAGATCAGTTCTTGAATTATTATCTAGTAGGATATACAGATTTGTTGAGCAGTGTCGAGTCTATTCTATAATTCTTTATCAGAACATGAAAACACGCTGTGGCCTTTTGTTAAAATTTATTCTAGTCGGATATTTTCTGATTTATGAATTATTTATTTTAATAATTATTTATTTTTAATTTAATTAAATATTTGGAAGAGGATACCCCTATAAAATTTTTTTGGATCCGCCACTGTCGGCATCCATGGGATCGACGACCGGTTGTTCAGGTCCAGGTCTAGATGCCTTGGGCGAATCAGGGACCCTTCGGGGTTTGATGGACTTACGCCTTCATTTATTGCGGTTCTTCGCCTTACCCCTACCGGGACAGGTTACGGTGATTACTACAAAGTAGTAATCACCATGGTTACTAAGGGTAAATTCGGTATGAAAAATAAATTGCATTAATTAATTTTTTTAATAAATTACATTTTAAGTAGTTACAAAAATCTATTAATTACAATTCTCTCTCTTTCTCTCACTTCCATAATTTCAAGCTAGATCTCTTTTCTCTATCTTTCTGCAAAAGAAAAAAAAATACGAAATCACTACCAATTTAGTAGACAACCACTACCACTTTGAAAACATCAATACCATTGCAGAAATAAATCTGTACCATTAGTCCATTACACGAAAACTACCAATATAAACAATCTACCAATATAAATCTATACCATTCACAAAAAACCAATATCATTACAGATTTAATCAATACCAATACATGCAAATTAACACCATTACATGATAATCAATACCAATATAACAAAAATATACCAATGCAACAAAATCAATACCAATGCGAAAAAAACAATATCATTGAGGCGAGAGGGTCGGAACATATATCGCTTGTCCATCGGCTCCTCCCGCTGCAGGATAGAGAAAGAGAGAGGGGGTGGGTTGGGGGGTGAGGTGAGGTGGGTGGTGGAGAGGGAATGGGAGAGGGACGACGATGGGGGTGGGGTAGGAGGGATGAGAGAGGGGAAGGCAGCGCGGTGGGGAGGGAGGGATGGGTGGGTGGATGGTGGGGGTGGGGTGAAAGGGATGGGAGAGGGGACGGCGGCGGGATGAGGGGTGAGGAAGCTAGGGCCGGCAGTGGTGGGATAGGAAGGATGGGTTGCACTAGGGATTAGATATATATAGAGTAATTAGGTGTGACTTTTTTTCATTTTCAAAATTATCCTTAATCTAATCTAACCATTAATTTAAAATTAAGGTGACATAGAGATAATGAATGGTGTAGATTTTAGTAGCCAGTAGCCACCATGATTAGTAAAAAATAAGTAACCATGCTAAACTATTCCTACCCCTACCCCAACCCATGGTAGCAGCGACCGACGGCAGATGAGGGACGCTTCACGGACGATTCGCCAACCTTCTAGGGTTTTTGTTTCTAGGGAACAGATGGGAGGAACAGTTCCCTTTATTTTATATATGTCAGTTTTTTCGTTGAATTATGTATATGTCAATGCCATGGTTGTCATGCCGGTAGCATGCCACCCGGTTCAACCTGTGTCGGTCATGAAACCGGCATGACATCATCGGTATGACCGGTATGATCGAATTACGCATTCTAAGCAAAATGACATCATTTTAATGAATTTAATTAATAAAAAAATAATTTATTATTCATTTTATCAATTTAATAGTTAAAAGTTGATGATATTTATTGGATTCTAACTAAATTGTCCACAAATATATCTTATATATGATTAAATACATTGGATATTAATTGTTTTCACATTTATTTAAATCGGTATGCACCGGTACAAACTGGTTATACCACCGGTCGTACCATTCCACTTGTCAAACCGATACAACGGTATAAACCGGTTTGACAACCTGGGCAATGCAAACTAAGACTAAGTTTGGTAATTTTTTTATTTAAAGCTGAAAAATCCTATGCAAATAAATAGGGGATTCTATTCGCCGCGGCCCAATTATGAGTCCAACTTCGCTAGTTGCATTTTTGTAGCCTTTGGACTTCGGTGTTAGTAGTGGCCCATAAAGATTTAGATTTTTTCCCCTAAATAACGTCAAGGGAGAAAAATGACGAGAAAAAAAATAGAAGAAAACCTCTTTAAAATCAGAATCCCATGGCATCATTTTATGAGTAGCCTAGTGGTGAACCCATTCTAAAAACTATACAATGAAAATAAACCGAACCGGAGCATGACCCGGTAATACAAACGGCTCACACTTTAGTGGTCCAACCGGCATTAGACCGTTAAAGAACCGGTACCTAATAAACGTTATCAGTATAAATAGTGGACATTTCTTAATCAGAGCTAATCTCTTTCCTTCGAAATTGTGAAATGGAAATAAGGATTGAGTTTAAGAGGCCGACGTTTTTGGTTTATTTCAATTTTCAATTTTCTGCAATTTTTTTTAATTAAATTTAGTGGCTGAGTGGCAAAAACCGGACGAGCGGCTCAATCGGCTCGAACGGTTAACCGCCTCGGCCGCTCTTCAACCGCTACATAAAACCGGAGCGGCTTTTAGACTGTTCCGAACCGGTTTTGTGACCGGGTGACGGTTTTACCGGTCGGGCCGAGCGGCTCGGCACGGCTTTAATAACACTGAAAATAAGACTCAACTAGTTAGTTATTGATACACCCTCCATGCGAATCGAGAAAAGATTTTGTTACTAAGCTTAGTGATATCACTAAACTACCTCTAAGCATTAGGGATGGCAATGGGTTGGGTTTGGGGTGGATTGTACTAAACTCATATCCATCCCCATTTTCAATTATCAATTTCGTACCCTCCCCATCCCCATGCGGAGGAAGATTTTGCATCCCCATCCCCATTTCCGCGGGTTTCGGATACCCGCAGGTAATCCCCGCCGCGTACATCTACTTATGATTATAACTAAATTAACATACTTGAATTCAAAAAAACATATAAATATTAGGTTGAAACATAAAACCTAATCAACAATAAACCCGATAAAGAACTACTAAAAATCTTAATTAGACCATCCAATTCTTACGAAGTTTCATAAACATCAAACCTAATCAATGATGAACCTAACATATAACTATTAACATGTTATGAAATTAAGGTTGGTTTAATTATGTGAAATTAATCTTTTAGTCCTTATTTTGTTTTACAATAACCTTTAAGTCTTTTTGCTAGATTACATTACAGTAGTTATATTTTACAATTATAAGACATAAATAATGACGGAGCGGATATGGGTATGGGTATGGGTATGGGGCGGGGCACTCAAATCCATCCCCACCCATCCCCACAAGATTCTTTGCAGGTATTACCCGTATCCGCCCCATATCCAGTCAATGCGGGGATTCCCCTCGTTGATCGAGTTGGGTAGGGTCGGATGCCCATGATTACGGCTATAATTTCCATCCCTACTAAGCATGAGATCGGATCCCTCACAATTCCTAAAGGAATGTGATATTCACTACACAACTCCCTTGTCGTCCATCCCCTTCCTTATTTTGGGAAGTCTTGTATTACCTGTAAAAGAAAAAAAAGTTAATAATAAATATGATTGCATGGGAAGGTATTTTGAGCGTGATTGCTAGGAGTTGTATTCACTCTTACCATAATGTCTCTTCTCCTTCCCTCTCATTCGTCCCATTTTTGCTACTTCTTCCTTCAGAATAAAAAACACTCCCCATTTACCTGGCTTTAACCCACCGGAAACCCTCGCATAGAAAAAGGGGGGCGATGACAGCTAGACAAAGGGGCGATCCTATTTGCAGGGTGGAACAGATAATGGAGGACATCACTGTTGGTCGACGTGGAGGAGTTGGACAGCGACGACAATCTCGACGATGTGGCATAGAAGGATAACAACGACGATGGCTTGACATGGAGCATATCGACAAGGACAACGATTTTTAGCGATCGTGATTGTTGAGAAACTCAAAGGAGAGGACGATGGCACTCAGAATCTTAGCAATGTCAACGATCTTGATAAGGTTGACTCATGACTTTACGACTTCACTACATTGATAGTGTTTGCTGAATGGTACCTGTAATGCTACCACTTGAGGTGCTATGGTATTGGTAGTGATAGTTCATGCTTTGTGGTAGTAATTTAGTGGTACAAGTTACCTAGTGGTAATCTTATGGCAGTCGAGTAGTGCCAATAATGATACCACTGTAGTATTATACCAGTGTGACTTCTAATGCATCTTCTTGATAAATACAAGTGTGGTATCACGAGGATGATGTATTCAACGTAGATGCTCTGGAAAATCACCCTTGTCGCGTGAATGTAGAACCCACCCCTGGCGACGATGATTCCATTCAGGATTTAACCTCACGCAACAATCTCGGTAGGGATGATAATGAACTTACGACTTCCGTTGTAGTGGTAGAGATAAGTTCGGTGGAGTGGTAGCACGTTGCTTGTCGTGTGGTAGTTATATGTATCAGTTGAGTGGTACTAGTACCAGTGATTTGAGAATTATATTTATAACTTAGCATTTTGCGCACTGGTCCATCTACCACTATTATCAGTGGTAACATTTTCATTGGTAAAATCTACCACTTGCCATTGTGTATAGTAAGCAATGATAAATTCCACCAGTGGTAGTGTTTGTGGCCGTTGATACATGTACATGCTCATTGGTAATGTTTTGCTAGCCTAGTGGTATAATTATGATGTTCGAGTGGTACTGTTAACATTACCGAAACAATGGTAATTAATATGGACTAATTTGATTTTCCGTGGCCAATGTGCATATTAGTTGTTAAGTCGGTGTAAAATCTTTATGATACCTATAACACCATTAACAGTATATAACCAATTACATTGCTACAAAATAATTCTTGATTTCACTGATACTTGTACCACTGTACTGGTAATAGTACCAATGTGCCGGTAGTCTGGTACTTATACCACTACACTAAGATTTGTTACTATTACTCGTACAACTGCATTGGTACTTGAACCACTGGTCTGGTCATTGTATCACTCGACTGGTATGTGTACCACTACACTGGTACTTGTACAACTAGACTTGCAAGTATGGCACTGCAAATGTTTCTTTCAGCAACTATGCTTAGTAAATATTTCTTTTCCACAATTGTATTTCAGTTCCAAATTTCAGTACATAATTCCACTAAATGGCGAAAATTTATTTTCACAAAATGTTGAAACGCCTGAAATTCAATGTAACATGAAACAGAACAAACATGCAAAACTACAAAATTGTCCAATTTGTTGTCATAATACTAAAACTCCAGAAATATCTATTGTTGTGTAGCTAGGACATTTGTGTCAATTGGGTAGGCAGCAAGAAATGTGCCATGCATTTCGACAGCTTTAACGGTTAACTCTTGAAGATGAAGCTTCCTTTGTCATCGCAATGCCTACAACCAAAAAATAAGGAAGTTCAACCAAAATTATAAATTACTACTAGAAAGAAAGTTATAAACTACTAGTCCAAAAAACTACCAGCCGAAAATATATTATAAACTGTCAGAGGAAAAGTTAAACTTAAAACATAAATAAAACGCACTTGTAAATGATTTTATTGACCAATACCACTACTAGTTTAAAGTTTAAACAAACCGAAAATGGTGACAATATCAATATTACTGCTAATGTTAGGCCGACTGGTACAAAGCAACTGGTAGGGATTAACAATTGCACCAACATAACTAACTGGTAGAAACTCAAACATTACTGCTAACACTGCAATTGAACCACTGGTATAACAAACAAGCATTAATGACTACCACTACAACTACCAGTTTATAGACTACACTAGAACATTTGTAAACAATGCAATGTATTGGTAGACACATTACTTCCCGTGAAACCCCAATTTGGATTGTTGGAGTGGTACTTGTACCACTGGACTCAAGGAACAGAGAACCCTTAATGATAAGAATCCCAAACTCGCGAAAGTTTAGGTTTTTTTGATCAAAGTCGCGCAATCATAATCTTTATAGGATTTTCTGATATTTTCTCTAAACAACTTGAAAAGTAAAGGATATGGCGGAAATTGTCGTGCAATCTTAACATGAAATTGGGAGACGTCTCGAACATTATAAGGGTAGCAACTCGATCACAATCAAGGTGGATACTCGATTGATACAGAGCTCGCTCGAATGTTGGAGATCCACCAATAAACAAGGACAAAATTCAAGAATAAAAACTCTATGAATTGAAAAGGTTTTTTTTCTATTCAACATCAATCTCCTCAAAACAAAGTTTACAACCCTTTAAATAGGTCTAGAAAATAAAACTAATGAAAGTACAGAAAAGGAAAATAATCATAAACAAAAAAAAAACTAAAACTCTTCAGGCCAAAATACCATATCGGCACCATTAAGGGCTCGTTTGCTTGTTAGATTTGAAAATGAAGGTTTTCAGTTTTGAAAACCTTTGGATTTATGATGGATTTGTTTCATTCTGTATTTGAAAGATAACATTGTTTGTTAATTAATTTTGATCATGCATTTAAAGATTTTTGTACCATGGGTCTCAATTCCTTGCGTTCAATGACCAGATACCAAAAGAAATGTGGTATTTGCAAATACGTGGGGTCCACGCAATTGGGACTAAAATAATTATCCAAATCCGTGGACCCCACGAATTTGTATACCTCAACATTCATAATTTTTATATCAAATACATAATGCTTTCTATTTGGGTGCCAAATACATCATCAAATCCCACAAGCAAACGACACCTAAGTACCCTATCGAGTATTTTAACCTTCCTGACCGGGGGTCCTTCTGACCCAAATACCCTATCTCGAAGCTCAGATCCCCTATAGGGGATTTAACCAACCTGATAGGATATTTTTCCTGATCACCATATGATCTTTAGGCTACTCGTTTGGTATCCAGGAAGTTTCAATCTTCTCATCCAATGCCTTCATGATCTTTAACAAGACTTGTAATCTCATTCCCAACACCTAGCTTCCCTCGAATGTCTCCCAAACAAAACGAGTAAGCTCCTAAAGTAGGTACCACAAACTGTTTCCCAGACTTACCCAATTTTACAGCTTATTCCCTTGACTTGGTTTCTTCTTTGAATATCAATGGGAATGGTTTTGGGCCACGATCCAGGGTCACATCACTTAATACAGGGACGCAAAGCACGGATACCTAGAAAACCTAAAATACCACTACCAATCGAGACACTACCACTCCAATCGAAAACACACACCACAAATAGAACACTACAAACCTCACCGACAATGGGAGACAAGACACAGCAGAGGGAGGAAGATGGATCGAAGATGGAACCGGTCGGACCAGGTCTAGTCCTAATCGACTCGAACAGCAGCTGACTCCAGTAGGCAGTAGAGGTGCGACAATCTGGGGGTTTCAAGGGGAGACAAGAGCTTCCTACCCTCCCTTAACCACTCCTCGAGAGACGGGACGTCCATTTGACATAGCTTGGGATGTAGGGCGGGAATCGCAGGAAAGACCTGAGGGATATGCAGAGTACCGTGGTGATGGGGAGGAGGCTTTGAGGTACGGGCGCGAGCGATAGTTTTCCCATAGCTATCATGGGGGATCTTCGAGCATGGACATGCATGGTGGATACTATCGTGGTTATGAGGGTGATGATGAGCTTGTTTTTAGGGCTAAACCACCTACCATTGAGTTTCCAAAATTCAATGGCCAGGAGGATGCAGGATTATGGTTGTATGCAACTGACAGGTGGTTCCGGAATCATCCCAGTAAGGAAGAGCGGAAGGCGCATCTAGCGTCTTTCTTTTTGGAAGGGGATGCTCTACAGTGGTGAGAATGGTTAAAGAGGTCCTATGCGCAACAGGAAACCTTGATCACCTGGTCGAGGTTCCAAGAGGAACTCCGACATTAGTTTGGTAAGTCATAAGGATGGGCCCCAGAGCAGTTAGCCAAGCTCCTACAGACAGGAATGGTGGCGGAGTACAGGGCGGAGTTCTTCAGGTTGGGAAACTGGTGCAAAGGGGTGCTCGAGGAGATGCTGGTGGGACTGTGCATGGCGGGGCTCAAGCCGGAGATTGCATCCGCGGTCAAGGTCTTTGAACATGAATCCTTGAAGGCTACTTTTCTTCTTGCAGGTCACGAGGGGGAGGAGATAGCCAGCTGGAGAAACACCATTGGTCGATACCAGAGGCCAAGCGGTAGAGTAAGCAGCCACACTGCTGGTGGAGGAAGCAGCCACGCCGGGAGGGCCAGTGGGGCACCAGCCGGCACAGGCGCCGGTACAGGAACATCAACGGCGGCGACACCGATAGTGGCTCGAGTAGGACTACGGGCTCCGCCGCAGGGATTCATCAGGCTGTCTCCGACAGAGATTGATCATAAAAGGAGGGAAGACAAGTGCATCAACTGTAACGAGCGGTTCGCGTTCGGTCACTAGTGTGCGAAGCCAAATTTGATGAAGCTCATAATTTGTTGGGAGGACGAAGTAGAGAAGGAGGCGGTCGAGTGCAAGGAGATTGCCGATTTCAAGCAGGAGTACCAATGATCGGGAGCCCAACCTTGAGATCAAGGTTGTCTCAAGGAGGCGGGGATGATGGAAACATGAACTTTTGCATATTTTGTCAGTTTATTAATTGTTATGGGTTATTGGATATTATTGGGGTATTATTTGTGGGTTTTGATAGTTGGGGTAGCATTCGGTAATTAGCGGATTATACAAAGAGCTAGCTAGTGGGTTCTATTCCACTAAGTAGAAGTATAAACCTAATTATGTCTCTAATCTCTCTCTCTATTTCCTCTCCCTAGCAGAAACCCCCCTTCTCCTCTCCCTAGTTGCTGCCGCAGCACTACTTCTCTTCCCCCTCTCTTCTCTAATTCACTTCCCAATCCCTAATCTCTAGTTCTAATAGGGAGATCAATGCCTAATTAATCCCTTAATTTCCTATCCCTAGATAGAGCCAAATCCTTGGTTCTATCAGAATGCTTCTAAGGTTCATCAGCAGCCTTCTGGCCACTTCCTCCCCAACATCTTTACACAATCCCAGCAGCTTAGTAATTGCATTCTCATTTCCTTTCGCCAATCCGAACCTCAGCAGATTAACGACAAGCAATGACACCAGAGCCCTGCTCTTCCTTATCTATGAACAAATTGATCAATTACCCTCTTCATACATGGATAGTCAACTAGTCATCACTAGATAGACAGTCGCCATCTTATCTTCCATTGATTCTTTTGTAAAGGTCAGTATCCAGTGAAGAGGTGGGCAAAGTTACAAGTGTCGAGCTAGAGAAGGGCCATCATGAATTACGATCCGACCCAATAATTTTCTCAGTTCATCAATAATATATTGGTTGTCCACTCTTGCCATGAACAGAAAAGGAATGGTTGAGGAATCAGAAGCTATAGGCAGCTAGTTCATAGCCAGTAGGGTTTGTATGAAGGCTCAAAAATAATTCCCAAAATTCAGTTGACATCAAATAAGAAATCTAAGACAAGAACAAGACAAGTCGATTACTTAATCCAGTAACGGAGGTCGGAGAAATTGTTTTGGTGTAAAGTTTGAGAGTTGTCGCTCGTGAGCAAGCTAAAGTGTCTCTCCCAATAGCTCAAACCATTTTATCCATTTTCGATTTACAGCATGCTCTGCTCTGGCTTTCTTCCTTTCTCATATGAATTTTGTTTGCCTGGTTCATGTATAGCAAGCGAGGAGGCATTCCATGTCTCTGTTTACGCGCGAGACGAAAGCAACCAAACCCCCTATTTCTAGAGTGAAAGAGGTATTAACGAAAAAAAATTGACCCATGAGGAAACAACGGAAAAAATTGACCCATGAGGAAAAAACAGTAAAAATTGAAGGTGCAGAAACATGAGTTGCTATGGAGTTGCAATTAGAAAGTAGACTGCTGCCAACGACTTATCTGTCACAAACCAAACATATTTAACACAAATAGTTAGTAGCATGAAACAGTCAACAACCATTTCCAGCAAGTGAAGTAAAATAGCTGACCTTGAACGATTTCAAGAGAGCTATTAAAAGCATCTTCTGTCTTAATCGGCACAATGTTGAATGACTTCAGCCTGAAACCGACATAACAACAACACTAAGCAAAAAGAAGCTACAAAATTGGGAAAAAGGAAAAACCCTACTAAACCTTGAATTTCATATGAGCACCAAAGTAAAAAATAGGCCAACGAAGTGCACCTGCCGCTGATTGTGGGCACATATTGTTCTCCTTTTGTTCGATTGTGGTTCATCCAACCACTCTGCGGCCATTCCTCCTAACCTTTCAAATGTTTTAATAAAAAATCAAATTAAAACAACACATCAACAATAACCAAGCTGAATATTAACACAACAATCACATACTAACCGACTTCATCAAATTGAAATTCAAGAACTTCTAATTTTCTTTCATAAATCATGCACCAAGCAAGTTCTATTTTTCTCTTCTTGCCAGCCTCGAAGCTAATGACACTTTGTTTCCCATTACAAAATTCATTTTATAACTGGAAACCTCATATAAAAGAGTTTGAAAGAAATGAAAAGCATAAGTAGATAACTGAATAGGTAAGAGACCTATTGTGCATAGTTTGTTGCCCAAGAGAGTGAACAAGTGGTGCTAGAATTTGTTTTTCATACATGGGTAGCATGGTTAGTCTGGTTGTCGGTTCTCACAGCCAACTATTGCAACGACAGATCCCATGGCAGTTGAGCAGCTCAAATGCAGCTGCTCTTGTGTTGCTCTACTTCCTGAGTCAACACAACATTACCAAATTTGTTAGATTATGAACAATCCATTCAAGAATAGGAGTAGCCAAAATAAAAGCGGGAACAAAAACAATGATAATCTAGGCGGATTGGCTTTTGTTGAGAAAACATACATGGTGAAGAATGTGCAGGGAGAACTCTGTAGAGAAGATTCACAGCAGTATGAAGTTTGTGTTTCCCTATTTTTGAAAAATCAGTACATAAGCATATAGCACAGCCTTGTTTAGAAAATTGATCAAACAATGAACTGGCTTCAGATTAGGCAAGCACACAATAAAAGAAAATGTTGGAAAGAAAATTACAGCAGAACCCAAAAGCTCATATTTTAACTATTTGCAGCAACCAGCTTCATTAAACTCCAAAGCATTTCCAAGTATTTACTAATTTACAGCTTTGATTGAGAACTTGCTCACGAATCTAAGAACCAACTAACAAAAAAAAACAACGTGAATCAATTACCCCTTTCCAAAGAGTTTAAACAATTACCAACACTAAATAATAGGTCCAAGGTTGCAGCAAAGGGGAAGAGGCATAGGATGGAACGTTGAGAAAGAATTCATATCATTAACATCATTCGGAGAGAATGTAAAAAACCGGAATCGCAATCATCCTCCACCAAGTAGCCAAGGATGAGAATAGATTGAGAAGAGAAGAGTAAACTTGCATCAGCAACAGCAAGCACCCAGATTACAGTAGCTACAAAATTGTCTCACATGGAAAGCTTTGTATTTTCCATTGAACTTAACAGTTACAAAACTTAAATAAATAAAAAGCTAGGAAATAATCACATCATTCCAAGGAGAGCTGCTTACAACATGATGTCTCAAATTTTGTCGGTTCAGCTTGGCTTTTTCAAATCACCCCATAATTATAATCAACTTACAAACCTGTGGTGAACATAGCCCGTTCAGCATTAGCCAGGCACTATCAGCAGTTGATCCCAACTCTTTGTTGCCTACTGATCAGATTCTGCAAAAAACTTGTCTCCATAATAGCAAGCTATTGCCTTCTAGAACTTCTCTTCAAAGAGCTGCACAAAGAGATGGGGTGTTATCCTGTAGGCAGAAACGCGTACATGGGAGGAAACGTGGCAGCAGGCAAGGGAGAAGAAGCAAACAACCAAGAAAATGGAGGACCAAAAAGTCTGAGAAAGAGAAGGTCATAAAGGAGACCTACCAGGCGCAGCCGCCGTCGTTCCTTGTTCATCACCGCCGTCATCCCCAACCTCGTTTTCCTTTATGTTTTCAAACTCGCCGTCGTCCGAGTGTTCATCGGCCACCAACACAGGACCTTGACCCAGGGCGACAACATCGCGTTCATCAGCCAAAGCTGACCTAAACAGGGGATCTATGGATATGAGAGAGCGATGTATCCAGAAGGATTCAGGCCGTACTGGGTTCTAGAAAGGTACCTGAGAAGCCGACCACCATTGTCGGTTTCATTGTTCATTCTGTGGTCCGAAGATGGGATTGAGCTTAGGAAAGAGGAATGGCGGGAAGAGGTGGCTTCGGGTCTTGGCGTGCCGAAGTGGGTTGCAGAGGCGATTGTACCATTGAAAACCACTTTGGGATGGGAGATTTGGCGAATCGTGGTGAGAGAATAGAGTCCCAGAGGCGGGATTCACAGGTGAATGGACGTGAGCAACAGATGCGGTGGGGGATCAGTGGAAATCAATTGTACCTTAGGCGAGGATGGAGCAATCTAGGGCAGTACGATTCATGGCTGGTGGCGTGTGCCAACAGATGTGGTGGCGGGTGTGAGGAAGGACGAAGACCAGGAAACTTGGAAAAGCTCAGCGGGGTCCAAGATACAGTTAGTAACCAGTGGTTACTGACTTGTCAGTAATTAATCCGGGCCGCAGATCTAGGAGCCTAGCTCATCGTGCGGTTGGCCGGACGCGAGGGAAGGGGAGGGGTATTTTTGTCCATTTTTGAATTTTTTGAATTTATCCAACATTTAATAGTTGGCTTTTCAATGAAAGAGAGAGAAATGGTCTTTTCTCTCCAACTCTTCTTTCTCTTTCTCTCTTCCTTCTCTCTTCCTTTCTCTCTCCCAATCTTCTTCTCCTGATCTAGATTTGCTCACTTCTTTTATTCTTTTTTTTTAGCAATCGACGAAGAAAAATTGCAGCCTCCCTCTTTCATTGCATTTCTTCTCTTCATCAAATCGTTGGCCTCAATTCGGATTTTTCTCATTTTTTGGCATTTTGGTGTTCTTGATTTTAGAGGAGGAAATAAGAGGAGATAGAAGACGAGTTTTTTTCTCCCTCCTTCTGTTTTTTTTCTTTTAGGCAATATATATTGATATACCATACTATACCATATGGTATTGGGTGGTAACGAAATATATATTGGTATTACCACACTATACCATATGGTATTAGGTGGTAACGAAATATATATTGATATACCACACTATACCATATGGTATTGGGTGGTAACGAAATATATATTGATATTATCACACAATACCATATGGTATTGGGTGGTAACGAAATATATATTGATATTACCACACTATACCATATGGTATTGGGTGGTAATGAAATATATATTGATGTGGCAAATTCATACCATATTGTATGCTCTTATTTAATACCAGTCAATACCATATGGTATAGTCGATACCATATGGTATAGACTAGGGCTGGGAATCCAGACCAAACCGTATGGGAAATCACGGTCTAGACCGTATCGTATGGTTTGGTCTGGACCGTGAGACCAGAACTATGGTCTGGTCTGGTTTGTGGTCTCCTCCTTTAGTGCGTGGTCTGAAGTGGTCTGGACCGTGGTCTATCGCAGTAAACCGTAACAGACCGCGACACACTACCTACTACCTTGGACAAAAATAACACTAAATTGAACCTCCATATGTGTATTTGAAGAACAAAGTTAGTTGATTCTTCATCTAGTTGAGAGCCAACAAATTGCAAAATGATCGCTTATATGTTATCTCCTTATCAAAGTACCACACAAAAATTAGAAAGACTCATAAATAATATTCACAGATAATGTCTAGACTATGGAGTCGATAAAAATTAACCACTACAAAAAAATTCGTTCACCTTGATGAGAGAAGGAAAATTATTGAGAGATATGCGACCATCTTAGTGGTTCGAAATTACCTCGACGTCATCAAAAAGGTTATCAACTCGGAGAACCTTCAGATCACTCGAGAGATGAGAGAAGCGGTAGCACAAAGAGGAATAGGGAAATAAGGCTATTTGAAAATTGAAAAAACCAACTTCCATCCTCATATTTCTTCTCATTTAATACAATCACAATTTTTTTTTGTTTCACTAGCATATTGGTCACTAGATTTTTTTTATAGATACCGGTGAAGGGTTGGAGGGCGAACAAGAGTTAATTTTTTTTAACATGGTCTGTCTGGTCCAGACCATACCGGATCGCACCGCACAGGTGTGGTGTGGTCTGGACCGTGTAGTATATGGTCTGGTCCATGGTCTGTGTTCCAACCTCTCGGTCTGGACCATAGACCGTATCTATGGTCTGGACCGGACCGCACCGTTTCCCACCCCTAGTATAGAATGGTAATAACCGGAAAAAAATTTTGTGTCCAAAAAAATATCAAAGTGGATATCATTTTGAAGAGCATAATTAATCTGATCTAACTGTGCAAAAAAAATTAAATTTCGACTTAAAAAGAGTGAGAAATCGTCCGTTAAAGATTAAGAGAAGGAAAATTAAAGGTTTTTCGATGAGAGAGAAGGAGGTCCTGATGTGGTCGGTCAAAAGTCAGGGCGTCAGCTATGAATAGGGGATAAGTGCATTTTACCTTACTGCCTTTTAGCATTTAATTTAAATAAAAAAGTAACTGACACGTGGAGAGAGGAGAGGGGGGTTACTGATGGGTTACTCACCCGATCTGCTCCCGCTCAGCGGCATGGCGAAAGGATGGGCATGGCCTCCTGCCGGGACTGAGGGAAAGGTAAGGCAGCGTTGGGCCAGGCAACGCCTCGCATAGCTCTTTCATTCATCGCCGCAAAACGACGAATAATGAAATAGTAAAAGAGAAGTTGGGCCAATAAAGTGTACCCAGCTTAGTGAAACGCTATTTACCGTCCGTGTAATTACTATTTGTCGCCCATAATTTTATAAGAGAAGTTTATTTTGCCCTTCAATATATAATTTAGAAACCTAAATAAAATTGTCATCCCGCCGCTGGAACTGAGTTTTGCTGCCGCCACTGGCGAGAAACAAACTTGCCGCCGGAATCTCACCTTCATCTTTTCAGTTTCGCAAATCCCGGCGACAATTGACACTCGCCTTCCTCTTTTTCCCCGGCAATTCTTGGCCAAGATTCGCCTTCCTTTTTTCCTCCGTGATGATCCCTCCACCATCTTCATCTGCTTTCCGAGCTCTCAATCACCTTGTTTTGGTGTGGCGGCCGCGGCGAGGGAATCGCCATGGGAGCAAGGCATCGGAAGGAGATGGTTGGTCCAACCGCGACAATCGGGCAGGGATGGGTAGTCGTCGCCGGAGTAGGGACCGAGATGGGTGGTCCAACGCGTGCAAACAATCGGACGGACGGAGACCCTCGGTCCGACGTCGGAGTTCGGACGGGGTCCGATCCCCGGCGTCGGACGGCAGCTGGTGACATTTTTTATGAAATATTAATGAATTTATTAATAAAACATTTTATTTTGATTAAGAATTTTTCGGAAGGAATCTTTCCTAATTAGCAACCTCTAATTTTTTTTGGTAGTAATATCCTTATTTTTCTAATTAACTTCCAAAATAAACTTCCTCATCGATAACACAATAAACCCACGTCTAAGTCTTAACAATAGGTTCCCTAATTACACTCAATTTAATATCCCACCCATATTTAACCAACGGATCCCAAAAAGAAGGGTTTTTTGCCGTGATTAATCTTGCCTAGTTTTTAGCGGTAATTAGGCTTATAAATTTTACCATAAAAAACCTTCCCTATTTAATATAATTAATAATTATTGTTTATGTAATTGACAATAGAAACAATCTTTCCTTAATTATCACGTCTAAGCCCATAATAAATAATATTTTTATTATTAATTATTTTCCTCTTTGATGCTACCAAGAGAATAAAGAGGAACATAATTTAATAATTAATTAACTATTTTAATAGTAGTAGGTGAGTTTAATTTAATCACTTAAAGTAATTCTTTTTTAATTTCTTTGCGTAAAAATAGTTTAGTGAATAAATATGGTGAGGTTGGATTTTAAACATGGAATTAGCTAGATTAATTAATATTTAATCTAATCGGAACAACAATAACAGTAAGAAAAAATGAAAGCATAGCTTCCCTTTCACACATTCTACCTCTCTCAAACCCTAAACTCTAATTCCCACCAAATAGCTATAGCTTCAAGCTCAATCCATCCAATCTTACTACGACATTATCTTAGAGGTAAAATCGTTTCTACTTCCACTAACAACATTTTGTTTGCATCATTGAAATATACATGATAGGCTCAAGAAACACCTGTTTATGATTCACAGAGCCCCCCAAAATCTCGATCGAAATTTTGGCACTATTCATCTTTTTTTGTCCAGGACGTCTAATAGAGAAATGGTCAATTCCACCATGTTCGTATCCACATTTTAGAGGATCAACGAGGATTTCAATACTTTTTAAATTGATGGCTTTAGTAATGCGAAAATTAATTTTAGTATGTAATATCAAACTTCTCATAGACATTGATTTTATATTTTATATTTACTGATTTGGATTGTTTTGTAGTATTTAGATAGAGATAAAATGATTATAGTAATTGAAGGGATTTAATTCTTTCCCAAACCCACGTCTCATACTCTCATGAGTCATTATATTCAACTAGTGTGGGCCCCGGCCAGTTGGCCGGAGGAAGGTAGGATGGCAATGGGTCGGGTTTTGCCAAATTCAAATTCAAATTCATGGGTTTATCCGTGAAAAAAATTCGGGGTAAAATCTACTGGGTTTGAAAAACTCAAACCCAATGATTTTTCATTCATAAAGTGTTTTTCCCTGTGTTTTATCGTAAAAAGTAAAATTTAGCGTGCATTTTTTTCAAATAACATGTAAGAGTGGGTCGACCCGCCCCGCCCTGTACCCGCGTGGGTATTACCCACCCCACCCGGTGTGAGATTGTGCGAGCCTTCACACGGCTTGCCCTGACATCCACACGACCGTGTGAAGGAGTGGTTTGGCCGTGTGGAATTGTGCGAGAGCAAACACGGGCATGATGGAAATAACAAATTATCCATAAATAACATGATTAATTGAAAGCTTCTTCCTTTCAATTAAGTTTCTTCACTCTCCACTCGATAACATCAACTTCATTCTACACAATTAGAAAGAAAAAATTAGACAGGTCTCCACAAACATAAATAAGATAAGTTGTTTAGAATATTAAATATATCGAGAAAATTAATTATATGGGTGTGGGCGGGTACCCATGGGTCGGGTTTACCTAAACCCAAACCCAACCCAACCCGATGAATATTGAACGGGTTTAAACCCAAACCCGGCCCAAAACCCGTCAACACGGATTTTACCCGCGTTGACCGAGTTGGGTCGGGTGGGTACCCGTGGGTTCGGGTTTTGTTTCCATCCCTAGAGGAAGGTGAGGTATGAAATTTGATAATGTACTGGGGTGTATAACTTATTGTTGTATAGTTTTTTTGGGAAACACGTGATAAAAATAGTGAATTTTAGCAGGAAAGAGACATTAATGATGCAACAAATCAAAAATCGGCCTTATGAACCAAAATCAAGTACCTGTTACCTTGTGAAACAATATTGTTTCTGGTAATATGATGAGGTGGAGTAAGTTTTATAGAAACTGAATTCCATAAAATCGAATAAAAAATCGCTTATCCCGTCGGTTTTCGGGAAATGAGCATCTCACAATCGTTGCTAGCTTTTACTCGGCCAGTTGGCCGATTAATTTGGTTTATAAAACTTTCATCTTGTCGTCATTGTGCTTTCTGGTTTTTTTTTTCAGGCTATGATAAAATCTAAGGAAATCAAGAACGAACAACACGATTTGGGATAGGAACCGTCGTTGTCGTATCCCTAGAAAATGGTGGTAAACACGGACTCACCTGCCAAACTGGTTTGGATTGAGATTTTTATCGGGTATCAGGGAACCATGTGATTATAAATTAGACTTGATCAAAAGGGGCCAAAACTTGAAATGCATCCTGTTTGACCGACCCATGCCAAATTCTAATTATTCTTTACTTTTAAACTTTTTATTTGAAAATAAAAAATAGTGAAAGAAAAGAGATGACTGCCATTTGCACATCACTTATTCGGGAATAAAACCATAGAAATTCGAAAGGAACTGAAAATGTTAGGATCGTTTTAATGTTTAAAATAACCAAATAGATCTTTCTGTTTAGTTTTTTACTAACAAATACCAAACGATTCCCTATAAAATACACTATGATTTGATCATTATGATATCAAATAATTATATAATATATATTTGAAATGATAAAAATTGGACTAATTGGGTTGGTCGAGGTTGAACCGTTGAATAACTTTAAAATACATTATATTTTAGCCACTAAGATATAAAATAATAGCATAATATATTATGCCAGAGAAAATAGCTTGTTTTAGAATGTCAAACCAATGATGTTCATTTGTTTTACTTGATGGCCAAATCCCGTGTAGGTCAAACCAACTCAACTCTTTTATTTTATGGTTAGCGGTTAGCCCATTAGATACCATGCATTAGTTTATTGTTAAATTTTTTATTTTTAGCAATAAAAAGAAGTATTGTTTTTGCCTCTTCATATATATTTTATCACCACGGAGAAATAAAAGGGCTTAATGAAAAAATTGACACTCTTGAACCCGTTTAAATCCGCATGTGTACGGTAAGTTGGCCCGTTCCACAGAGGAAAGAGGAAAAAATTGACACTCCCTATTCTATCATTCCTACAAACGCTCCTCGAGCAGGACATTTGAAATGGGGGAAGGGTTTTTTCCTCTCTGCTATTATATCTTTTTAATTTAAAAAGATGCAACAAATGTACTTAGTGTGATTGGTTATGATCCTTAGTTTTCCTTAAAATGGTCATGGTTCGAATCCCACTATGTGTCTTTTAATGAATTAAAAAAAGTAAGTGTGAAGACCAAAATGTCCTTCCTATTTTCACTCTCGTTGCAGGAAATTTGAAATGGGGCTCCCATTTTTCCGTTCGGTGTATTATATTATGTGTAGATTCACTTCCTAATCAATAATTGACGAGATTAATGTTTAAAATTATTCATTGTTAACACATTTACTATATTCCCCTTATCCCCTATCTCTCCCCGTAACTATCAACCGTTATTTGCGGCAAACCAAATCAAATTCAATTGTAACCGAGAATCCATTCCTTAATTAACTCCTTAATTTTTTTTTACATGTTGTGGTAACTGCATTCATTCATGGATTCCTTTTTTGCCGCTGCTTTCATTTTTTTGCGATGATTGTTTGTAAATTATTAATTATTTATTTAGCAATTAAATAATTGTTTTTTTTTAGGGAAAGTACTTAAGTAATTGTCAAATTTCAGAATTAGTGTTTATAATTATGAAGTGTTAATTTATTTCCTTAATTAACAACAGAAAAATAATTTCCATAAATAAAATAAAAACAATTACGGGAAGTCGGGAACGCGTCCGACGGGCGGCGATCGGACCCCGTCCGACGGAGGAGGACGGACCCCGTCCGACGGAGGGCAATCGCACCCGTCCGACGGAGGCGGGCGGACCCCGTGCGATGGGCGGCTATCGGACCCCGTCCGACGGAGGCGGGCAGACCTCGTGCGACGGGCGGCGATCGGACCCCGCCCGACGGGTGTAGCCGGTCGATTAAAAAAAATATAAAAAAGGCCTGGTCTTGAACGGCGAGCTCCTTCCTCGATGGCGTGATGGCGACGTCGATTTCTTTCTCAGAGGCTGTGGCAACAACAACAGCAGCGGCCACCTCTTCAGCAGCTGGCGGCGGAAGGTGAGCAATTGGCGGCATGAGGGGAGGCCCGCCGGCAGCTTCGAGATGGAGGATGGGATGCGGTATAAGTTTAAAATGAAAGAAGGGTAAAATCGTAAATTTATTTATAACTATTGGCGGCAAATAGTAAATTTTAGGGTGGCAAATAATAAACCTCATTTATTAATTAAGAAGTTAAAAATCTCCACACCTTTCTTAATTGAAAGTGTTTAGACAGATACGTATACAGTCATCTATTTTAATTCTTCAAGCAATTACGTGTACATCTTGATCCATATGATTTGGTGAAGGTTTGCGGTAAATGACACATTGTTAATTAAGACGATCAAATGAAGGAGGTTCAAGAGGAAGAAAGAACTTTTTTTGCTCCGAAAAGTTAGGAGCGAAGAAAGAGCAAAGTGTTTCTGCTAGGGTTTCTAGGCTGCCTCATGCCGGCGGCGAGGATTACCCTTGCGCAGTCAGTCTTAGCCTCGTTACCAGCCTATACAGTGCAGACAACCTTCCTTCCCGCTTCGGTAAGAGATTATATTGATAAGAAAATTCGTGGCTTTATCTGGGGAAGTTCAGAACAAGGTAGAAAAATCCACCTAGTGGACAGGGATTCAATGTGCAAGACCAAGGAGGAAAGGGGGTTAGGGCTACGGAATGCCACCCAGATGAACGAGGCTTTCATGATGAAAATCGCATAGTGCTTGATGAAGGAACCAGAGAGTCTTTGGGCTCGTGTAATCCGCTCCAAGTATTTGAAGGAGACACCGGAGGGATGGCAGCCGAGAACAGGTGAGAGAATCTCTAACTTGTGGAGAGGAATTCTATGCATACTTCACTTCATCCCTCAAGGAACCATGTGGACTATACGTAATGGCTTGACAACTCTTTTTTGGGACGATGTGTGGTTGTTTGATGGACCTCCGTTGGCTGAATTTGCTAGCAATTTACCGGCGGAGGCGAGGAAGTTGAAGGTGGCAGAGCTAGTACTGAACGGGCAATGGAACTTAGATTTCGTGCGGGCTTTCTTGCCGGAGGAATTTGTCACGCAGCTTCAGCTACACCCTACGCCGCATGAGGAAGGCCATGATATACCATGCTGGCGCCTTTCTCATTCTGGCGAGTTCTCAATCAGTACAACCTATGCACTTACTCACGACGGTGAAGAGATGAGTGCTACCAGCCCGATTTGGAAACAGGTGTGGAGGATCCCGAGACACCAGCGCATCCGGCCGTTCTTCTGGCTCGTTGTTCAGGAGAAACTGCTTACTAACGTCGAGCAGAAAAGGAGGCACCTGTCACAAGCTGATCTGTGCAAGATATGTGGAGGAGGGCCGGAAACTACGCTCCATGTTATACGGGATTGTCCGTATGCCCGGGACGCATGGTCACAGGTTCTGGGAGAGGAGCCGGACAGGTTCTTTTTTGACAAAGACTTAAAGAAATGGGTCGCAATGAGATTATTAAGCCGTCTTTATTTGCAACTTTCTGTTGGAAGCTGTGGAAGAATAGAAATTGTCATATTTTTGAGAAGGTGCTGCTGCCGACCAGCGTGATCGCTATTCAGGTGCAGGAATACTGCCACCATATCGAGCTGGCCTTGTCAAGGTCGGCGTTCATGCAGGAGAGGGGTACGCCATCTCGGTCTGTTCAGCTTCTGTACTAGCGGAAGCCATCGAGGGGATGGGTATGCTTGAACATGGATGGATCGGTAGTGGGTGGGATGGGGAGCACGGCTGCAGGCGGGGTTTTCCGCGATGACGAGGGCCAATTCATGAAGGCCTTTGCAATCAATTTGGGCAGAGGTTTAGTCACTCACGCAGAACTGGCAGGGATAGTCTAGGGTCTTCGCCTAGCTTGGGAAGCTGGATACAGGAGATTTGAGGTGCGTAGTGATTCATCTACGGCGGTCAAGCTCATTCAGACGGCAGCGGATCATAACCCTCACAGAGGCCTGATCGCGGCGGCAAGGCAGTTGCTTAGTTTGGATTGGGAAGTCGGAATCACCCAAGTTTTCCGAGAATAGAACTTCGTAGCAGACTATTTGGTGTCGGTGGGTCATTCTTTGTCTTTAGGGGTTCATGTCTTTGACAGACCCGGTCCCATGTTAAGTTACTGGATGTACTTTGATAGTGCAGGGGTTGAAACCCCGAGATTGATTAGTAGTAGTTAAGGGTTGGAACGCCCCCCTGCGCTCCGTTTATTACCCCCAAAAAAAATTAAGACAATCACATTGTCGATTAGATAGATTATAAATCATTTTTCTTACACAAAATATCATTCATAATTATGAGGTTGGAATATGAATTTCTTGTTATATTATTCACAAACGGAGTCTTAAAAATACAACATGTATTGCCAAAGGTCATATAGCCTAGTGGTGAAACCGTGGAAAAAATCTCAAAGTACACTAGTTGTTAAAAAAATTCCCAAAATACATCAGTTATAAAAAAAATTCCAAAACTACACATGTTTGGCATTCACCGTTTTTGATAAACGCAGTGATGTATCACCGCGTTTGTCAAAAACGATGAACCAATAGCGAGTCAATCACCGTTTTAGAATAAAACGGTGAATACTTCACCGTTTATTCAAACGCGATGAAGATTAAACCGCTGTTGTGGGCCACGATCAATCGACGCAGATCGCTGACGTGGACAAACGCGGTGTATTCACCGCGTTAGACAAACACGGTGAATACCCCGTGTTTGTTTGCGTCAGCGATCCGCGTCGCTGACCCACTCACCGTGGCCGTTGGATACGGTGAGGCACGGATCGTGGTTTTCTTCCCAGATCCGACGCCTCACAGCACGCCACGTGGCTCGATCCGCGTCTGTCGCCGTTTTTGAAAAGGACGATGCATTCACCGCCTTTGAGGGACGCGGTGAATTCACCGAAACTTCTTGAATTTACCCATATCTACAATTTACAATAACTTAAACTATTAGCTTAAAGACAGGTTAATTAACCAAAACCATATTGTACGACTAATATTCAAAAATTAACGTAACATAAATTCAACTAACTAACAACAACATAAATTCAAAAATTAAGTACTACAATTGCTACGATAAGTAATTCATAACATAACAATATAACTACTAAAAACATCATTAGGCTATAATACGAAAATTAAATCATACTATAACTACTAAAAACCCATCATTAAGCTATAATACGAAAATTAAATCATACCGAAAATTCATGTTTTGTGTATTATGCTCGGTTTTGGTTGCTGAAATTTGAAGAGGGGGGAATGGTTATGTTTTTATATTTGCTGGTGGCCTGGTATTTATAGGACAATCTGCCTACTATTCACCGTTTTTATCAAACACGGTGAACACCATCACCACGTTTGTCTCAAACGGTGAATATTAGGTAGCTGTCACCTAATTTTCACCTAACCGGGGTTGAAAACGTGCCTAATACTCACCGTTTTAACCTAGAACGGTGAAGGTATTCACCATTTTGCCCTAAAACGGTGATATATTCAGCGTTCCGACTAAAACGGTGATATTTTCACCATTTAAATTTAAAGCGGTGATTGGTTCACCGTTTTAGAGAAAAACGGTGAATACTTCACCGTTTTAATTTAAAACGGTGAAATATTCACCGTGTTTGTCAAACGCGGTGATAATCTTCACTGCGTTTGTCAAAAACGGTGAATGCCAAATATGTGTAGTTTTGGAATTTTTTTATAACTTATGTATTTTAGGAATTTTTTTTAAGAACGTGTGTACATTGGGATTTTTTTCTGAAACCATTGGTTTGGTTGGTTCAGGATGTGAGAGGTCCAGAGTTCGATTCCCAGCGGCGTCGTTTGTGTGTTCCCGGAGACATGCCTGAGTGTCGGGGACAAAGTCTCCTGATGTTGTCGAAAGTTTATGATATCATACTATAATTAAATCATGTTCTCTTGGCCCTTATTTTTAAGTTGAAAAATCTTTCTCATCCAAAATAAAATTTTGACCTATCAATTTATATCGAGTGGTCTACAAATTGACATCTATGGTTTTAGCCACCCGACTTAAAAGGGTGCTTTATGTTTTCATTATAAGAAAAACAAAAAGAAAGGAAAACATGGTACTAGGAAGCAAAGATAGATTTGACTAAAATTAAAATGTACAGTAGAGTGAAATTGAGCTTCTTCGAAAAGGTTTTGAGTAGTGACGTACCATTGAAGTATATCATACTTCAAGTGATATACTGTTTGGATATACTTTGTTGTAATTAGAATCGTTGCTTATTATTATTGTTGGAGGCATATCTCGGGCTCGAGTACGCCACTAGTAGCGTGTCCGCCAACTCATCAGAGAGCGCGCAACACCACCATCAGCCATAATGTGCCTCCTCCCAACCGCGCACCTGCAACACGTGAATACGTCATTGCGGGTATCCGCCCCGCGGACTGAATCCGCTTTTCCAAACCAGCCCGCGGAAGGAGAGGACCAAGACGACATTGTAGCACCGACATGCAGTCACCTCGCGGGTATCCGCCCCGCGGTCTGAATTCGCTTGTCCCAATGAACCCGCAGAAGGAGAAGACCAAGACCACATCGTAGCACTGGCGTGTAGTCACTTCTCATTTGTAGACCTAATCATACCCTATTTATATGTCTTGTCTAAACGTCTTTTCATCTGGGATATCCACCCACTGAGGGGAGCCTATAAATAGAGCATTTACCCCGGTGGGTGAGGATATCCTTTTTTCCTTTCTCATTCTAAGAATACGAAAGACTTCTCTCACTAAGATTCTCTCTGCTACACTTCTTAGGCCCTCATCTCTCCGCAGCTGCTCACAAGTGTAAGAGCGGATCACATCTATCTCACTCGCACCCCAATCACCTCGTGTCTCATTCCTACTCTCAGTTAGACATAAATAATTGGCGCCCATCGTGGGGCCGCGAGTGAAGGTAACAATGACGGGACAAACTTCCAACACTCCAGACGAAGCGACTCTAGTAAAAACGATGACCAACCCAAGGTTGTTCGCAGAAACCGACAGCTTAAGCGTCGTGTTAATAGAAGACGAGGAGCCAGAGCTGACCGCCAAAAAGTTCGCCAACAGATGGCGAAACAAAACGAAGCCATCGCAGATATGCAAGGCAAGATGAATCAGGTCATCACGTTGTTGATGAACAAAGAAATCCCCGTGGCATAAAAATCTCCACCCCTGCCGAAAGGCAATACATCCCCGAGACCCGAGAACAACGAGCGGAGCTGTCAGCGAAGGGGGATCTCAATTTCCCAGAACAACACTTGTCACTAGGCTACCGCGCTCCGCCTAAAATAACCATCCATCAACCATTAAGCGCCAAGATCATGGCGAAGCATCTTAGTGGAATACCACTCACCCTCCCAACTTACAACGGGACGACTGATCTAGAAGATCACGTCAGCACTTTGTGCCTCCGGATGCAGCTTCAAACAAATTCGAATGCAGCGCTCTGCCGCACCTTCCCTTCGACATTTGCTGGTAGGGGTGGGCAAACGGTTCGATAAACCCAAACTGAACCAAAACCAAATTAAACCGAACCAAAACCGAATTAATGCTATTCGGTTTAGAATTCGAAAGGAAAATATGGATAGTTCGGAAACCAGGGTTCTCTCAACCGAACCGAATTTACGACCGAAAAACCGAAATAATATAATTGCAAGCTCCAAATGGTGGATTTTTATGTTTGTAGTTGTTTTAAGACTTAAATATTTGAAATGTTTTATGACCTATGTGTTGAAAAGTTTGATTTTATCATTGATGATTCATATAATTACATATTTATTGTTTATATTAGGGGTAAAAAATAATTAAAAAGTGAGAAGATACAAGTAACTTCACAAATTCGGTTTTGTGTGAAAAGTTGAACCGAATTATAATTTGGTTTAAACCGACCGAACCGAATTATAATTTGGTTCGAATTTGGTTTGAGGTTTGGGAGAATTTGGGGACCCGGTATTATAATTTCGGTTCGGTCAAAACCGAACCGACCGAATGCCCACCCCTATTTGATGGTATCTGCCTCGATTGGTACAACAGGCTATCCAACAGGATAATCAACTCCTTCGAAGAGTTCACGTTCTTGTTCACAACAAAGTTCATGTCTCAAAAGATGATACCATTACATATCAAGGCCTTGATCAACATAAAGCAAAAAGAGGGGGAAAGTTTGAGAGCTTTCTACGCCAGATGGTCAAGGATTGCCATGGTAGTACGAGACCTATCATTAGAAACTGTCGCGCACCACCTCATGGAAGCCACAACCAACATGGAACTAAGGCGGGCCCTAGCCAAAAGTTCAATCGTGTCATCGACGGAGCTCAAGGTCAAAGTGGAAAAGGCTATCACACTCGAGGAGACATTAGGTGTGAAGGCAACACGACGTCTCGACCCGCAAAAATAACCAAGGGAAGAATAAGGACGGAGGCAAATTCCAATACCGCAAGAACAGCTCATGCAACGTCACAGTGGGGCAAGCCAGTCGCTCGATCACCCAGAGCCAGTGTCGCGGCGCCGTTCCCCATACAGATGACCACAACAAACATTCACCCCGCTCAACGATACAGTGAAAAACATTTTCCATCTCATCCGCGAAAGGGGTTACCGCCTCAACTGGCCCGCCCCAGTAAAAGTCGCGCCTCACATAAGCGATCACAAAAAGTATTTTGAATTCTATAGAGAGACGGGCCACATGATGGAGGACTGCTTCAACCTCAAGGTAGAAATTGAGGCACTACTCAGGAGAGGATGTTGGGCTGAATGCGTCAAGGGAATAGATTAACGAAAAGAAAGCGGCTTCACACTCCGAACCCCTTCGCAACAAGAGCACAACGAGACGTACATTGTGCAGAAAGAAATAGGGGTCGTCACAGTGGAAGGAAGCATACCCCAGAAGAAGACAAAGCGTGACCGCGCGATGGAGTGCGCATCAACAGACCTACCGTCGAAGTGCAATATGGGCTTCGAAGACACATAATTCCCGCAAAGGAATTCCTTCAGAGGATTCGCTCACTATCACTGCATTGGTCGCGTCGTGCAACATCCACCGCCTGCTAATAGACGGAGGAAGTGCAGCAGATATCATGTTCAAAAGCACCTTGGATAATATGGACATAGACCCGCGCATGATCAATCATGCGCAAGGTCACTTAGTAGGGTTTTCGGGCGCTCGGGTGGCGGTAATTGGAGCAATAACGCTACCAGTTGTGATTGGGGATGAAGAGCCGCAAATTTCGAAGCAAAATGAATTCACCATCGTGGATTGCAACTCACCCCACAACGGCATACTTGGAAGATCATTCCTAGCCAAGTTCATGGCCATACCATCCACATGCCACCAAAAACTCAAATTCTCCACCAAGGCGGAAAATGGATAAGCAAGCGGATTATCTTGTTAGTGCGGCAAAAGAGCCGCAGCCAGTGCGCCGAACCAATATCATCGATACAAGGGTAGAGGACCCGCGCCTTGATCTCGTGGACTCTGACTTTGAAGTTCTGCTAGATCCAAAACAGTCAGCCAACAAGGTGCGCATCGCAACACATGTCCCTCACAATATGATCGAACCATTGGTCAAACTACTGCAAGAATATAAGGAGTTGTTAGCATGGTGCACTGAGGACATGCCGAGAGTACCAAGGACAGTGGCGCAACACAATCTCGCGGTTCCCGATTACTTATAACCACGATAGCAAGCGCGAGGCACCTTCACGGGCGAGAAATTGAAGGCAATCGAAGAGGAAGTCTCGCGACTCTTAGCCACGGGACTGATCCGATAAATCAAATACCCCACCTGGCTTTCCAATGTGGTACTGGTCAAAAAAATCTTCAGGGGCATGGAGGATGTGCGTCAATTACACTACTATCAACAAGGTGTGTCCAGGAGATCCCTACGCTCTCCCGCCCATCGACCAGCTGATAGACTGATCGACGCCACTTCCGACCATGAAATGTTGTCTTTCTTGGACATGTTCTCTAGATACCACCAAATCCCGATGAGTAGCGAAGACGAAGAAAAAACCACCATCATGACCCCATTTGGGAATTTCTGCTTCGTGGGAATGCCCTTCTGGCTAAAGAACGATGTTTCTACATACCAACGGATGATATACTCAGTGTTCGCGCGGCAGATTAGGCAGAATGTTGAGGCTACATCGATGACCTCATTGTAAAAACCGAGGAAGGGAGTTCACATATAGAGGATCTGCGCGAAACGTTCAAGGCACTGTGCGAGAACAACCTCCGCCTGAATCCCCTCAAATGCGTATTTGGCGCCGAAGCAGGAAAATTTCTAGGTTTCATGATAACAAGGCGCGACATCGAAGTAGATCATAGGAGTACAAAAACTACGCGCGCCGAGAAGCACCAACGAGATGCAATCCCTAAATGGCAAGTTGGCCGCGCTTGGAAGGTTCACACAAAGATCCATCGACAAGTGTGCTCCCTTCTTCCAAAAACTGAAGAGCGGCACCAGATTTGCATGGACCTAAGGTTGCAAATAGGCGCTCAATGTGCTCAAAATGTATCTTGTATCTCCTCATGTATTGACTGCTCCCAAGCGTAATGAAAAGCTTTTTTGTATTTGGCCGTGCCGGCCAGAGCCGTGAGCGCAGTGCTAATCTCCAGAAGAGAGGCACAGGCAAAAAGACCGATCTACTAAACATCTTGAACATTGCTTAATGCTTAGACAAGATATTTGCCAATTGAAAAGGCAGTTTTGGCCTTAGTGAGCGCGTCACAAAAGTTGCGACCCTACTTCCAAGCGCACTCAATCACGGTGCTTAAAAATCTCCCCCTCAAACGAATATTAGGCTCAATGGAAGTGTCAGGGCAGATGACAAAATGGGCTGTGGAATTATCGGGATACGGCATACAATACGCTCCTAAACCGGCAATAAAGGCGCAGATACTAGCATACTTCATCGCGGAAGGAGTCGTTCGAGAGGATACACAGAAAGGAACGTGGGAAGTATATGTTGGTGGTGCAGTCAGCAAACATGGCGCAGGAGCGGGAGTAGTGGTACGAACCCCTGCAGGTGTCGTACACGAAATCGCCATACGATTCAGATCCCTACAAACAAATAATGCAACAGAGTACGAGGCTGTTCTGCCTGGACTAGCAGCCGCTAGAGACTTGGGCGCTATGGTTATAAGAGTACTGTCTGACTCCGCGTTAGTAGTGAACCAATTGAACGGAATCTTCGACGCAAAAGAAAACACACTCACACTCTATATAGAACAGGTAAAACGGCAAGCGACATTGTTCGAGGTAGTAACTTATGTGCAAATACTGTGGGAAGAGAATATCCATGCTGACGCACTATTAAAGCTGGAGACCGCCACCGATTTCTACTCAACGCGCTTAGGGTTGGTACAAAAGGAGGATCCAGAACACCAACAGGTGAACACAATAAACGCAACACAAGTAGCGGAAGAGGGAGATTGGCGTACCCCAAAAACAAGGTACTTAAATGACGGATCCATTCCAGACGACCCAAAAGAAACATGGGCGCTGAGGCAGAAGGCGTCGCGTTGCACCCTTATAGGCAATGAGTTTCATCGCCTCTCCGCTCACATTGAGGCGTATAATTCAAATGTATAGGACCAACTGAAGCGCAGAACATAATACAAGGCATTCACGAGGGACTGTGCGTCATGCACAGTGGTTCATGGACTATTAATTTTTATTCTTATGGTCCAACTCACTAATCAAATTTTGATATTGTTTTAGAATTAGTTAGAAATTGAGCTTTCATGCAACACTCTAGGAGTTTGGGGTGTTGAACTTGGAAGATTTGGGATTGAGTTTCAGAAAGGAAGTGGTGGGGGAAGAAAAAATCAACTGCAGCAGGTTAAGGCAGACAAGAGGGAGTTGCTGAGGGTAGTGATCGAATTGAGGAGAGTATTGAAAGATGCAGAAGCAAAACTGAAGCAGTTGAAGAGAGATAAGTGAGAGATGATGAGGATATTAATAAAAATGTAGAGGGTATTGAAGGGCATGGAAGTGTATTGAAGTAGGTGAAGGCAGACAAGGGGGAGATGAGCATATTGATGGAATATGAGATGAGTTTTGGTTTTAGCGAACTTATTACAACTGCCCCTGAGGAAGATGAGTTTGCAAAACACAGGAAGAGGATTGAGGAGTTGAAGAGCGAGTTGACAAGAACCCCAATTGGAAGAGAAATTGAGGGTCGCAGAGAGAAACTCCATCAAAGTAGCAGAAATGGAGTTGCAGAATGAGGATTAGAAAGTGAATATTTGGTTGAAACATATGCTTCTTGAGATTGAAGATATAGTAGAAAAAAATTTGGTCATTCAGTGGCTATTGGATCTTTATGTTTATGGTTTTTGCAGCTACCACAACATTTTTTTATCTTAAAACGAGGAATCATTTATTGATTTAATGAAGTAGGTCGATTCTTTATTCAACCTACTTGAACTGATAGATAAGGAGTGTCTAATTTTGCGTCTTATTACTTTGATCGAGTCTATTAGTATATTGGAGGTAACCCAATTTTGTCGTTTGCTCTCAAGTTTTGGTGGTCCCCTCTTAGCTTAGTTGTTAGTATATAGTTTACTTGAACCTACAACTCTCAATTTCTATTTGATTAGTGGCATACTGCCCCCAAAATGAGAGCATTGAACCATTTACGTAGGATTGTGAGGTTTTAGATTCAGTTTCAAACTAACTAATAACATTTTAACTGAACTTAATTATCATTATGAAAATGGGATCAATGATACATTTTTATATTTTATATTCTTAAATGATGATATTTCTCTAAATGTTCGACCTATATATTCTTTCTTTATGTATCATCTCGATCGAAAGATTGTCAATAAAATTAAACAGGTTAATAGACTTTAACGTAACATAAAAAATATAAAAAATCAAATATAAACATTCCGGCCAACGGACCGGGTTATAAGCTAGTTATTCAAAGTGGTAAATTACCCTAAAGGAAATTATAGTAACCGAAACGGTCCATAGGAGAGCTTGCTGCAAAAGTCTCGATCGCTCTACTTCCACTCCACCCATTGAAACTTGAAAGAATTTCTAAGAAGGATTTTCTTGTGTATATAACTACCATGTAGAGAAAATAGGGCTAGAAATTAATGAAGATGCTAGGGATGTCGGTTTGATTTTGATTTTTCTATTTTAACCAAAATCGAATATATTTTATAGGCTTATCAGTTTTCCTCAATAGGTAAAATCAAGGATTGCAAGACTTGGGACGAGCGGGGTGGAGCTATTTTAGACGAGATATCTCAACTCCGGGAATTAGTCACCGTTTTTTCAGTTGGGTTTCGAGGCAGGGAGAACAATCGAGCGGCTCATTTGGTAGCCAAAAAGGCTCTTTCTTTGTTTCCTGCAGGTGTTTGTGGGTTTGATTTCCGAATATGGTTGTTATGTGGTTTGTAAACATTGGTATCTATTTCTCTTGATAATGCAAGTGAGCTTTGGCCAAAAAAAACCCCTTAATGGTGGTTTCGATTTAAAATCAAAGTTGTTAGTAACCAATAAGGCTTAGCAACCATATTCGGAAACCGAATTCGTTAAAGGCTCTTAACGGTCTCGATTTCAATTTTGAAACAATTTCATATCTCGGTTTTACTGGTTTTCGATTCAGTTAACCAAACCACCACTCGCAGTTAAGATATGTACGGCCGCAGTCACAAAACCATTGGAAACTTAACACAGTTGTTACCCTGGTTGCTTCATGGAATTGGAAGCAGCTGACAACTATGACTTAATTCAACAGATCAATTTAATAAGGTTCCTTCACCTACCCGCCTTCTATTTCAACATCATAACACTTTTCAACAATACTACCGCCCGACAACTTAATTCTGATCCAGAATTATGTACATATAGTTACCTGCTTGTACCATCTAGCTCGTGGCAGGAACAATTATGATTTGTTAATGTGGGGTTGACTCATGATCCGTTCGTCTGATCTCGTCGGGAGAGAGAGAGCCTGTAGAAAATCGGGGAAGCCCCCTGATTAAGTTCCGATGATCAAGTCAGTATATTGTGTAGAGTGAATTGAGAAAATAATTTAGAGAGATAAAGTGTAGAGAGAGAATCAAAGTGGGAAGTGAGGGAGAGAAGTTGAGCCCTTTCCTTGGACGACTTGAACGTCCTTATATACTTGTGGCGAGCGTCAAGCGTCAAACTCCCTGGTTGGCATCACAGGTAACACAGCCTGTGACTTAGTACTTAGTCTATTTGCGGTAGATTCAGTAACACCCCAACAATTGCCCCCAAGCTGGTGGTGAGTTTTAACTCACCTCTAACTTAATATTTTTCAAAAAAGTTTGCCGATCATCTTGGATGGAGCCTTCTCTACCCCTAGTTGCCCCCCCAGCTGGTGGCTCGTTTAGATGATGCGGTGCCAGTTTCATGGATTTTGCACCATAATTGGTGGATTTCATTAAGACGTTCTGTATGCACTCTCTCGTTGGAGATTCTTCAAGGAGTTGAGCGTTCTTCATTTGGAATTCTTCAAGGCACGGACCATTTGCTCGTTGAAGATTCTTCAAGTCATTAAGCACTCTCCATTTGAGTTATTCAAGCGCACACAAGGGTGTCCTCTTTCATTGGTGCACTTGTGATAGCCACACGATTACGTTACGAGGTTACTGCGCACGTTTAGTGGCCTTTATTGGAGATAGAGGTAGTCGAACGCTCTCTTATTGTCGATTCACCAATGCTCTTATCAAAGTCTTATTTGTGTGCTTACGATTGAGTCTTACATGAACGGAGGTAGTCGAGCGCTCACATATTGTAGATTCACCAATGCTCTTTTCGAAGTCTTATTTGTGTGCTTCAGTCGAGTCTTACATGAATGGAGGTAGTCAAGCGCTCCCATATTGTAGATTCACCAATGCTTTTATCGAAGTCTTATTTGTGTGCTTCAGTCGAGTCTTACATTAATGGAGGTAGTCGTGCGCTCCCATATTGTAGATTCACCAATGCTCTTATCAAAGTCTTATTTGTGTGCTTCGGTCGAGTCTTACATGAATGGAGGTAGTCGAGCGCTTCCATATTGTAGATTCACCAATGCTCTTGCGTTCTCCTCATCGGGGTTTATGTACCCTCAGTTTGGAGTCTTCAAGGGGTTGAGCGCCTGGTGAGGGCATGGCGGTGACTAGTCGAGGCGCTGGCCGTGATGATTAGCCCTCAACCATTGTAGATTCTTCATGGCGTTGACTAGTCAAGGCGTGGGTCGTGATCATATGACGCTTGATTGAGTTTCTCATCTCCCGTGTTGTTTGGTAAGTATTACCCCCATTAGCGTCATTAACGCTCATGAAGTAAACTATTTAAAAACTTAATAATGATAGATGGATAGAATACATAGCTTTATATTGGCGAAGCGGCGGGAAGAGTATTTAAATAAGAGCGCTGTGCTTACGGACTACAAAGGGTTCAATAGCTAGCGACGACCACATTATTTTTGAGGAGCCAATTGCCTATTGGGCTTCGCGGGCCGGGGGACGCTAGTTCGGTGCACTCCTTGAGTCGGGCCGGACTCCTTCCGGGTCGTGGGCTTGTGGCAGCAGTGGGCCGCGGGATGGGCCTGCTGAGTGTTGGAAGCTTCGCGGATACCTGATGCGGTCCGGGCCGTGAAATGTAGGCGATGCGCGTATGAATAATTACCCAAAATCTTTCCCACTCCATTCTTGAACCCTTCCTATTTTATTTATTGCTTTGGACGAGCGGGTTGCATTGGCGGCGAGGCGAGCAGGACAGAAGAATATGGAGGGTCTGCCAAGCGTTGACTTTCAGCGCCAGCTCTTCTCTTCCTCCTTTGCCTATGATTTTGCGTTTCGGGACGATGGCGCCAATGGAATCTCTCTGTAGCTCAAATACAGATTTCCGATCTCTCTGGATTAATTGCATGTGATAAGGGATGGTCGACGATGGCAATGGCTGGGGGAAGCGGAAGCTGGCGGCGAGATGAGGTGGAAGGGATGACCGGGGATGGTGAGACGCTAGACTATGTCGTCGCTAATGCGGCAGAAAGAAGAGCTCGGGCCGTTATAGTTGGAGCTCTGCGCGGCTCGGATGAAGGCTTGGGCGCCCGCTACTTTTGTGGTCTGGAGGGTGCGGCGGTTAGCAAAGATTCCGGGATGACGCCTTGGGAATGGGTGCGATAGCGAGAGAGATGGGACCAGCAAGAGAGTACTGCGATAGATAAGTTGGAAGTTTGCTGACCGTGCGACCGGAGACTTGGCGGAAGGAATGGGAAGGTGAATCAGGGAGGGTATCGGCGATGGACGCTTTTAGTGATAGAGAAGTGGAGCGCGCTCATGACGACGGCTCAGGAGAAGGCTGCTTTGACGATGAGTGTTGGTATCCAGAGCTCAAGGCTGAATCGAGATGGTGATTACTGGAGATTAGTGCGGCGGTAGGTGACGTGACGGAGGAGTCCCTTGTTGGAATAATTAGTCATATATATGGGTTGTGCACGTGAGTAATTTAAGTTAAGAGCAGGGATAATAATGGGTCGGGTTGGGGTGGGTTTTGTCAAACCCAAATCCAAACTTATGGGTTTATGCGCCAAAAAATCCGGGATAAAATTCGCTGGGTTTGAAAAACTCAAACCCAACCCGCTGGGTACCCGTGGATTTTTGCGATAAAAAATTTGCAATAACAAGTTTCTTTAAAATAAAAGTTTAACATCAACTTTCTCATAAAAATTATCCATACAAAAAAAATACCAATCTAGAGCATACAAGCAAACCATAAATTATCAATACAAATTGTTCAAAATTAAAGATAAACATCTATAAACAACATGATTAATTGATAGCTCCTTCCTCCTTGTCAACTAAGATTCTTCACTCTCCACTCCATAATATCAACTTCATCGTACACAATTAGAAACAACAAATTAGACATGTCTCCACAAACATAAAGAAGATTAGTTGTTTAAGGAAGATATATTGTTTGGAATATTAAATATACCGAAAAAATTAATTATATGAGTGTGGGCGGGTACCCATGGGGTGGGTTTGCCTAAACCCAAACCCAACCCGGTGATGGTGTAGCGGGTTTAAACCCAAACCCGGCCCAAAACCCGTCAACACGGGTTTTTACCCGCGTTGACCGGGTTGGGTCGGGTAGGGTACCCGTGGGTTAGGGTTTTGTTGCCATCCCTAGTTAAGAGTCATTAGATGGATTAACAACTAAGTAGAAATTAGTTAACAGCAGAAGTCAAAGTAGTTAACTAGTTATGCTGTTTTTCAGGGATATGAGTTATTGGTTAACTAGCTCATTCGTTTGTTCCTTGGACTTGAACTCTATGCATGGTTAATTTTGGGTGACGAGTGATCTTGTTAAGACTTGCATTGATTCATGAAAAAGGTGAGAACTTTTTGTTTGCCCGTTTTGGTGACCTCGAATGTCGTTTGTGGTGGATGTCGGTATCGTTTGCAACGATTCATGTGTTGAGGTCCAATAGCCATTGAGATTCGCCACTTTGTGCCCTTTGATTTTTGCCCAAGTTATCTTATTAGGTTGAGAGAGTACCTTGTGTGAAATGGTTTGTTTGGGGACAAGCAAATGTCTAAGTGTGGAGGAGTGATTCGGGTCTAATTGTACACATTTTGCCCCTCATTTCTTGATAGTTTGACTTTGTATTTCATCGTTCCTCGACATATTTCATGCTAGGTTGTGCTTGTTTTGATACATTTCAGGTCCTAGCACGTGTGGAAGGGTCGATGACGAGTTTCGGGATAATTGGAGGTCAAAAGCGCAAAAACCGAAGAAAAGTCTGAAACCGTGACAATTGCCCCGTAACAGTGAAGTGCAGGCATCCAGGGACCAGCCGTAGTTCACGGTCTCCCATTGGAGTTTACAGTCTCCT